AGTAAAACAATGTCAACAACTGAAATCACAGTGAAGTGAATGGCTACAGTCAAACCTTATCTCAGAATTAGATAAGGCCTGGTTTTCACACACTGGGTCACAAATTGTCATTTGTAAAAATTCTGTGATGTAAGTGGATCATATTCCAGTGTAATATTATGATTTGTTTGTTAAGGTTAAGTCAGGTACATAAACATTAATTTAACACTTATAACATTTTATTTAATACATAAATAAACAACATAATGCCCATGTAAAGAAAATAAACTAGTAAATTGCAACTTTCCATATTTTAAAATTAGAAATAGGCTATATGAATACTTTACTACACTGTACAATTGAATGTCAATTGTTTATTGAACTTATATAATGTTAAACTGACTTAAAACAGCTTGCATAACTTATAAAATTAAGATAGAACATGATTAACTTAGTTCAGTAAGTTAAAATGACCTAAAACATATGCTGTCAGTACTACTGATCATGTAACTTTTTACAGTGTACCTAATGTTTATGTATGTGCTGTTTCCATGTTTGGATAGTTGTTACTGCAAATAATAACAAACATTTTAGCCAAAGTCTGTTATCAGTTCCACCCTTTAAAATTAGGTACATTAGTATTTTCTTCCCTTCTCTAGGTTACAGCAGCTGAGTTAACGCAATTGTCTATAAAACATGACACCAGTTATATCAATGCTGCAGAGTTGTAAAAGACAAAGACCGACTGCATCGGTTTACACAGATTTAAATAAAGACAGTTTATTTTAATGTTGTAGGAAAAAAGAATTATTAATTAATTTTTATTAGAAAATGTTTAGACTAACAACAGATTAATCGTTCTTTCTCTTATGTATGAGATCACATCTTGACCTGACACACTTCCCTTTTTTTACTGTGCTGCATACTTTTTAAGGAACTTGCTGACAAGAGGGAGATCTGCTGTTCAAAACAAAGTCTAGACATGTCACAAGTTGTCATAATGCTTGTAGAAGTTGTGAAATATATTAAAAATGCACATAATTGTTCAGTTCTGGTATGCAGAGAAGGGTTGCAGAAAGAGGAAGTATGTCTGGTGTTACAAGAGCCAAAGAATTGCAGAATGACTAAGTGACGTTACACCAAAACTCCACCTGTTAATATCTGTTGTGTATAAATGCTGGAGTCAGGAAATGTATGTTAGTTGCGAACCTCTTGAATGTAATTTTTGTATTGCATTGGGGTAATGTAACCCAGAGCTCTGTCATCGAATTTTTCGTTTGTATCTAATAAATTACTAATATTTTTGGCATTAAAAAAAACACTCTCCTGGGGTCTGTTCTTTGTACGTGGATTACGCAGTTAGCTGTATTTGGTTATTTGACATGATCAAGGGTCGTTTCTTTCTTCAAAACTGAACTGAGAGTTGCTAGCTCAAACCTGGTCGGAAGCAGGTTTAATTCATATAAACAGGATAAGATCGGCTCAGTTCAAGCAAAGATAATACATAAAGTATGTACCGAATTCTGATATTTTCTTACAGTATTAGTTATATACACTTGGGAAAATACTAAATTTTTAAAAATGATATAAAAGTTATAGTTATTAATAAAATAAAGTTATATATTAATAAAACTTAAGCTATCTGCCCCCTTGAAATGAAAGTACAAAGACTGCCACCTGGTGGGGCAAAGACAAAACTTATTGATATGAACTTTTTAGATCGCTTTAGTACAATTTGTGTATGATAATAGAAATGCACAATATGTGACTTTAAAAGCAATAACATATTTATGCAGTCATAAACATGTTTTGGCAGTTAATATGACAGTGATTTGACGCTGCTGTGCTGTCGGCCAATCGTTGCATTTCTGATCATTATTTCGAGGATCGATAGATCTGTCCTTTACAAACACACACAGCGATCTCAGATCAGTTCATCCAGACATTCTAATCTGATTCACAAATTTGTTTGAAGAACCAAATTAGCCAGAGATCAGTTCATTCATTTACTCATTTTCTTGTAGGCTTAGTCCCTTTATTAATCCGGGGTCGCCACAGCGGAATGAACCGCCAACTTATCCAACAAGTTTTTATGCAACGGATGCCCTTCCAGCCGCAACCCATCTTTGGGAAACATCCACACACACTCATCCGCTACGGACAATTTAGCCTACCCAATTCACCTGTACCAAGTCTTTGGACTGTGGGGGAAAACCGGAGCTCCCGGAGGAAACCCACACGAAGGCAGGGAGAACATGCAAACTCCACACAGAAACACCAATTGAACCAGCGACCTTTTTGCTGTGAGGCGACAGCACTACCTACTGCGCCACTGCCTCGCCCAGAGATCAGTTATCAATATCAAAAGATCCAGGATCTGCCAAATCATCTTAGATCATTTAAGCGAGGTACGAAGAACAGACCCCAGGGGGCCAAATCAACCAAAACAACACCCATTCTTGTCTTAGGACATTTTATTGAGCAAATTTTTTAATAACAGTAAGTTCATGACATGTTAAATATATAGTGTAATCTGCTGGTTTTAAACATACAGAATAATATGGAACAACCATAACATTACCTTTAAGTCTTGGGTATACTTGATTAACTTAGTTGATTTGGACATATTTGATTTGATATTTGATTTAGACATATTTGATGAACTTTTTAATACCTACATCAAATGTTGACCAATGAAGGTACATTTATGTTGCATACAAATGCATTCAACAGACTTATATGACAGTGCATTGCTGTAGAGGACAAATAAAAGATGAGACTGACAGGTGTTAAGAAAGAGTAGTTCATTTTGTTTAACCTGCAAACTTATCTAAACAAGGTAAACTTTCAGAAAACACGGAAACATTATAATGCGCACGCTTGTGAATGTAACCCGCGGTTGTCCTCAATAGTCCTTCTTTGCTCAACTCTGCTAAAAAACACACCCCAGGAGAAGATGTCATCTGGAGCCCGCAAAGGCACCATCTTCCGTGCATCCAAGACCCCTCTGGAGTGCAGCTGTACACCCAGACAGGAAGTGTTACAAAGAGAGGACTCACTCCATGTATACCGCTGCAACGTAGGTGCACAAACCTGCAGTCCTTCCACAACCACAATAAATGCTTCATACCTGGTAAGATGACTAGTGCTGGGTTAAAATATACTGTAGGTTATGTAATTTTAAAACTCTTGACCTTTCCTTTATCTTCAGAATACAAAACTAAGATATTTTAGATGAAATCTGAGAGCTCTCTCATTCTTCATTATAGGAAACGGTCAAAATAAAATATCCTCAAAACTCCATTCCTTCAATAATTCAATCTGAATATTATTAGGTTACAAAAATAATTTTGTGTGCTCATAAAACCAAAAATAAGGACGTCATTTACCCTACATTGACACTAAGGAGAAGAATCTGTTAAATAAATAAAAAAGTCATTCATTATAAATATAATTTGTTTTATTTATACACAAAAGTATTTTCTAAGCTTAATAATATTCCAATTGATCTACTGAAGTCTTACGGTCTGTTTTTAGGGGCATTTTTCTGCATTTAGGGTTAAGGTTAGGGGTCAAGACCATTGTGGTCTAAGGAGGATGAGAGAACTTTCAGATTTAATCCAAAATATCTTAGTTTGTCTTCTGAAGATGTAGGTCTCAGGGGTTTTGGAGGGTGATTAAAAACTGACTTTTCATTTTTGGGTGAACTAACAATTTTACGAAATGATATAAATTCAGAAAATCTCTGAATCTGTTCATAATATGAATTGTTTTCTTCAGAGGATGTGAATGGTGGAAGTACAGTCTGATATTTGGAAATATTTCATATTTAAAAGCAGTGACAGCAAAGATGAGGTCTACAAAACCAGCCATTGTGATTCATTGTCAGCTTAAATGAAAAATTGATCCCTTACTGAAATTGAAACCAAAACCATATACTTAGGTTCAGAAGCAAATCACCATACTGGTCACAATTTCCAGCCTTAATGTTTATGCACATCCACTTTTAGGTGTTTTTAAGTTGCTTGTAAATGCATATTGGTTATGCTTACTTTCAGGAAAGAGTGCTAACCTAGAGAACTTTCTGGCTTTTCTGCTGGAAAGTTTGGAGCGGTGGAATGAGGAGCCCATCATCAATAAGAAGATGCTTTCTGTCTAGTGTGACATTTTTACTACAAGTCATTTCAGAACTACAGGTGAGCAGTATTTAGATTCAGTCCATCTTATTTATTGCTATTTTAAATTGATACAGGAACTATTGGAAGGCGCTAGAATAGGCAATGGATGAGGATGTGTCCTTACCTCAGGTCAGCCTGGAACTAGATAGACGGCTTCTCTCTTTCACCAACACTGTCATAACAAGGACAAAATCCATCAGTGGCATTCACCATCTCTGCAAATGACAGAAATCCTTCATGGTAAATAGTTAGATTCTGTAAATATTTCCTGTTGCACTTGTTTATGGTCTAGAATTTTCACTTCACAAAGGCCAGTCCTAAATTATTCTTTATCTATTTTCTATCTAAAAGTGCCTTGTTCTTAATTGCATTCATTGCATTCATTCATTTTATACTTTTAATAAATGTCCTGTTAACAGTTCTAAATAATTGTCGGTTTTGAAAATTGACTTCCCTTTTATAAAAGTGACAGATTCATAAAACAGTCCTGCATAATGGAAAAAAGGTTTGGCACGGTCATGGAAATATTCAGAAATTAATCATTTCAGAATTGTATTTTTTACTTTTATAAATGTCATAAAAAACAACACTTTAGCTTGAATATAAATCACAAAAACGGGCCCAAATTGTCCTTTATTGTTATAATTATGTTTTATAAAAGAAATAGTTCCTTGTTTTTGTAAATTAATGCAATAGGTAACATAAAAGGTCTCACATATTTTCTGTTCTGTATTCACAAGAGTTTAAATTAAGTATTTTAACAAACTATTATATGCATTTTAAATGAACTTGATTATAAAAGCATGTACAAAATATCATTTCATTAACTGAAGATTTCCCTAATAAACGTATTATTCTGTTTTATTGAATAGTTCACACTCAAAACTATATATAAAAAATACAATATAAAATACATGAAATTAAAGCAAATAGAAGGATACAAATTTTTTAGAACTATTTACAGCAAATACAAACCTGATGACAAAAGTCAAAAATGACTTCATAATAATAAGAATAAGAGTTTGCCAAAGCGCCAGTGCTTTCCCTTATATGTGTTGCAAAATAAATTTCTGAGTCCTGAGTGTCCATCATCTCCACATTTTGGCAGGTTAGTACAGGACATTCCAATTCCACTCCAAGAAAGTGAATGTCCCTCACAAGTTTCAAGTAGTGAGTCTGAAGAAAATTGATTAGCACTGGCTTTTCACATTCAAAAATCCAGGCCGATCTTCCCTTGTGCAACCATTTACCTGAGAGCAAGTGAAATATTGACCAGTTTGATTTCAGAGACCTGCTTTAACTTTCCACAAACTATTATGGCTTTACAAAATGGACTCCTGTTATCTCCACAAAACATGGAGAAGATTTGGAAAAAAGGAAGAATTTACTACAGAGTCTTGAGCCCAATTTATTTTCCTGAGTGAGTGTTGTGGCTCTAGAATGTGAAATGTCTGTTCACAGTTTTTGCAGGCCTTAACAAGACTGATGACGACAAAGAGACCTTCATGCACGACAACGCAACAGTGAGGCAACTAGATCCAAAGAGAGATCACCATTTACAGAATTGTTTTACTCTATTACTTCAAACAGTTCTTGACATTTGTTTGTTATGGCCTATAAGCGGTTTGATAACCTTTTTAAATGTCTGATACTAAGAACAAATGTTTAATGATAGACCCTTTTCACATTTTTAGGTTTCTCAGCAGTAGAAGTTAACTTAAAGAGCAGTGATCAGAAGAATAACACAAAATACATTTCTGCATTTCAAATTGCTCAACTCAGAAAAGGAAAACTCTACGATAGTGGTTTTATGACTTTTAAGAAAGGGAAAAAAACTATATGAGACTGATAATGGCAGCCAGAAGAGAGAACAATGTCAAACATACTGTGCCGCCCATAGACCCTGCATTACAAACACCTTACAAAAGTCTCAGTTTATTTCAAACTGATGCAAAAGATCATTCATAAAGTATAGCTTCATGAATCTTCGTACTGAATACTTCATACAAAAAAATCTAAATATTAAAAACTTGAGGATTGAAGATCCTGATGACCACTGTCTTGTGAAAAGGGTCTATAATATGCAAGACTTACTTGAATCTGTTTTCATAGCATAACTAACCTTACCTAACAAAGAATTTTGAAATTTTACCTGTTACTTGTTTGCCTGAGCAACAAGGATGGTATTGTGTTTTTGTTTCTCTGTGGAAATAAAACATACACTTTTTCAATGGCCATATAAATCAATAGGTAAAATAATACAGAAACATAAGGATGTACGCCACTCTTTTTTTCTTTTGGGAATGTATTTTTCCTTTTTATGTTAATAGTGTAACCCACCAGTCCTACTGCACCCAACCCAGTCTGAGCTGGGATCCACCCAGCGATTATGCCTGGCAGTCGGTTGCTCTTACAAGGGAGCTAAAGACCATGGCCTTTAGCATCTGTCACTAGAGCACCTGAGGTCAGAGGAGTGAGGTTTACCAACACAGGTTCCTAAACCTCAATCCTATCCTGGATGAGCGCCCTCGTATAACCCACCAGTCCTAATGCACCCAACCCGGTCTGAGCTGGGATCGAACCGGCGATTCTTTTCATGGGAGTCGGTTGCTCTTACTAGGAGGCTAAAGACCATGGCCTTTAGCATCACCAGAGCAACTTTTGAGGTCAGAGGAGTGAGGTTTCCCTGCACAGCACTTCACTAGCTGGCCTTTGGTACAATAGCAAAGGCCCTTTATTTATTACCTTAAAACAAAAAGGCCTTTAATGCGATTTCACAAACCACATGCTATCTTAAGAACAAAAATAGATCTATTTTAGACTATAAAGTGAGTGGATTCTTTCCATTTTATTTTGTTAAGAACGGAAGTGTTGCTTCACTTTGTTTTTGTACACTCCTCATCTCCTCCATCCATTGCTCTACAGTTTTCCCAGAAGTTCTAGCACAAAAGTGGACCCCGCGAAACTGGCTGTGCCCAAACTCTTTTGTTTTCGGGTTGCCGCACTTTTTACAAAGATACTGTTCGAAGAGCCGCTTGAGAGGTAAACCTCGCTGGGCAGCTTCTTCCTCTGCCTTCCTCCGGCGCCAAGCAGTGGTCCTGGGCACTTTCGAACAAGCAGGTCTGGTGGTGAGAACTCTTTGCTCTGTCTGTAATGGCACAGCATTAGCTGGACTGGGAACCCCGATCACTACTTTAATCACATCACCTGCAGGTCCATAATGAACAGGATTTGTAATGTTGTGTGGTAGAGGAAGTAAAGCCTCAGAAGTCTTCATGCTGTCAAGCCACTGGTGCAAAACCGACTGCTCCTTGGTACTGTACCTATTTATAAAGAAAGATGACAGTCTTTTTATAAGAATGCAAATACAGTTAATGTGTTTAGTAAGTAAGTGCATGAAGTATTGGCGCACCACTGGCTCAGTGTCCTCTGGTTTATTTCCAGCAGCTGTATCCGTGTACGAGATGAGATGGCAGGGCTGTCCTGGACGATGTTGCGGATCATGCTGTAGTCTCGAAGGATGGCCGTCCACCTGCTCACCCGCACACCAGCAACCGTCTGATCCACAGGGTGGATGTGTGACAGAGCCAGGCAGACAGCTGCAACAAGTCGGCTGAGAGAGACGAAGTAGAGTTTCAAATTAGAGCCTACATATTCCTACATTTCGAGGTCACTAATTAATCCTGTTTGAAGCTATTCTAGAAATTCGAAAGACGAGAAATAAAATATATCAGAAAAGAACGCGAATAATAAAATATCTGTAAACCTCACAGCTACCTGATAGTAAATATGTGATGCAATATATTAACAAGCATACAATTAGTCAATTCCAAGAGTGAAAGAAATGGGATACTCAATTCAACAACGAGAACAGGAAGCTCAAATTCTATCACCGTTTGCCAGGGCTGTGGTTAAAGATAATGTTATAAAATATTCCATTTCTTGCACAGGACAAATGTTTTGGTCTAAAAGACCTCAAAATATCATCAAGAGCCAGGGGTATTAAAATAGACTTTCCTGTTGGGTTGTTTTATTATTTTGCCTCTCATGTTTTTTACACTAGTGCTTTTTCCTTTTAAAATGACATTTTAGCTCCTTGTCCATACTGCAGTTTTTACTGTGCTTCAGATAAAATGAGTATAGTCAAGACACTACAGCCTAAAACACATTATACATAACCATTCACGATCATTGGGCATGCACATATTTTGGCAGCATCTGTACCTACAGTCTACCGGTTGCCAAAACAAACCTTATTTGTTTTAAAACTAAAACACAGTGCAAATAACACCTCAAAGTGCCGTATGTTGTTGACTTTTTATGACTTTTATCATGGCTCACCAATGATAAAGGTTTCAGCTGAATGAAAAAAAAAAGTCAGTTACATCTTGTTTAGCTCGATGTTAATTAAACGAACATCTTTTTTCGGGAAAATACTCTCTTGAAAGAAGAATTGCTAAAAATTAGATTTTTAGGTGATAATATATCATAACAACTGGGAAAATCAAGTAAAGGAAGGATTGTTGTCTAACACACTCACTTCTTTAGACCATTGGTGCATGGAGTCACAAAGGCATCAGTGTGGCGGTTGCTGAAGTGCAGTCCATCTTCTGGATGAACGGGGAGGACGACTCCACCTTTATCATAATCTGACAGCTTATCCCATAGAGCAACAATCTCCTCCACCTTTCGCTGTGTGATAAATCCATGACTTCTAAGCTCAACCAGACTGTTAGCCAGGTTAATAACATGATTATAACCTGGAACACCATCAGGCCCAATGCCCTTTTCCTAAGGAAAAAAAAAACAATTACCCATTTTAAGTCTTAGAAACTTAAATGAGAGCACACACATTGTTGAAAGAGGAAAATATATATTATAAAGGCAATATAAAGCTTCAAGAGGTAAGAAATGTAATAACACTTATGAATTTGGGAGAATTTTATACAAAGTTTTTTTTTTTTTTACATTTTGTTACTTGTTGCTTTCTCTGTAAATCAATCCTTTGCCCTCATTCCTAGCATAATTCTGTACTACTTAAGTAGATTAGCATCTAATTATATATTTAAATAAAGATATTTCAGTCCTCTGGATATGAGTTTATTTTATTTGTTTGTTTTATCTGATTTACTGCACAGGTGATGAGTAAATTTCTTATTTATTTTAAATGGACGCTGAATAAATAAGCTTTCCTTTGCTGTATGGTTTGTTAGGATAGGCCATGATTCAACATGCACCAATAAAGATTATATACATATGTGTTCAAATAGGTTAATGTTTTATATAAAAATCGGATACAAACAACACCACACTAATACAAAATCCAGGAGAATATGAGTACCCTGCCATGTAATCGCTGTAATGAAATCTCCGACTCGTTTCGCAATAATCCATGTCTTTACTGCCATTTGGGCAGAATAAACAACCGTAATGGGAACATCGAGATGCGCAGCAGCATTGAATGTTTGTTGATGGTACGTTCATCAACAGAACAAAAATGAAATGCAATCCTTACGACAAAGCTAGATGGTTATTATTGTGGAGCACTGTTTTCCCCTTACAAAGGTAAATAAACAATACTGTAGACTATTCATCCATGTTTTGTTTGCTTTCGTCTGTTATTTCGTGGTGTCTGGTAGATACATCATTATTTGCATGGCGAAAAACTATAGTAATTTTTAATAAACATGTTATTGAACCACATAGTAAAGTATATAATGTGTACAACTCTTTGTTAATGAATGCTGCCGAATACTCCAGCATAGTAAACTGATTAACTGTAATAAATACTGTAACATTAGTGTAAACTGAGGTGCATTGTGGTTATAGCGTTGAAAACTGAAGCCTATTGAATAATTTGTTTATTACTACAGTTGTGTTGTACCACATCAACAATAAAATTACTATGACAGTTTAATTTAAGTAATTATCTATAGTATGCTTCCAAACACTATAGTATTTACTATAGTATTTTTCATGTAACGACGTAATTATACAATATGTACCGCATCGATGACAGGCAAATATTTTAGTTCAGTAGGCCCTCGGCCCTCTTCATGATAAAAGGATCATGCCCAACATACAGTATCTGGTTATTTTCTATGCTATGTATATCTCCTTTGAAATATGGTATAAAAATTGGAAAAATACAGACTTTCACAATATGTATCTCATTCAGTTTTTTACTTCCTGCCCTCCTCTGAATTTCATCACTAGAACCACGTGATTAAAAAACAACCTATTACTAATCAAACATTGGGTTTTGATATATTTACAACAGAAATTGTTCAAAACATCTTAATGGAAAAAGATTTTACCTAATATTTTAACGTTTTCTGCCATAAAAGTAAAATAGATCATTTTGACCCATAAAATGCTATTGCCAAAAACATACCCATGCCACATAAGACTGTTTTTGTGGTCCAGGGTCACATCTGACAGTTGGCAAGTGCTAATTTTAGCAATATTACTATCTTTGATTTATTAATTTTTTTACACGTAACAGCACTCACCTCCTCCTCTTCCTCATTCTCCTGTAAAAAGCTCCGTGGCATGAACTGGTCCTCAGGGATGGGCTCATCTTTTATGGGCCCAGATGTGGAAGACACGATTGGATCCGGCTGGGATGTGGGGGTGCCGGAGGAAGTGGACTGCAGAAGTACTGCCTGACACTGACCATGGTGAAGTGGTTTAAGGCTGAGCTCCAGGAACTTTGGTGATCTGAGGTGATCGATGTCTGAATCATCATCTTCCAGGTCTCCCTCTATCTGTCCATCACTCTCGTCTGGAGCATCGGGATCCATGAAATCATCCACCTCCAACACCCTGCTGGTCTGAGAGTACAGATACTCCACCCCCATGAGCTCACCTGAAAAACAGTATGACTAAATATCTTCTACAGTTCACAGAGGTCCACTTTTAATGTTATGAAGGTTTTATTACATCAAATGAAAATTTTATGCAATAAGCCATTTTCAGTCCTGCTTTAATGCCTCTTGAAATTACACAGACTGAAAAAATGTGGGGGATTGTAGACTCTAGATTAAACCCAATTCCTCGAGAGCTGCAGCTCTGTGTAGTTTAGCTCCAACCACCTCAAACTCACACCTCTAGTAGTCTTGAACCCCTTCGTCTATTTGGATCAGCTGTGTTAGATTAGGGTTGGAGCAAAACTGTGCAGAGCTGAGGCTCTCTAGGAATCGAGTTTAAGACCTATGCTCTAGATTAGAGATGCCCAAAGTAGGGTCCGCGGGCCAAAATTGGCCCTTGGTAACCTTAGATTTGGCCCACCATTCCATCTGAGAAGAGATTTAGAATGATGGGAAGGTTTGGGGCGAATGTCTTTAACAGAGATCATGATTTATAATTTAACGTAACCTTTTGTTTGCATGTTTAATTGCTGAACTACAAAAAAAAAGACAACTAAAATGAAATGTTTTAGTTGAATGTTGTTTGTGAAGCAGATGTTTAAAAATGTAAATACTGTCACATGAAGATAAAGGACAATGCACAGGGTGGTGAAGCTTGACTCGTGTATTCAGTGTTGAACACCATTGTGTTATGTGTTTGTGTTTTTTTTGTAAGAATTTCACTGTAAAAGTGTAACAAAATTTATAATTATTAATACAATTAAAGTATTTTTCCTTTATATTTTTAAACATTAATACATTAGGAAATTACCATTGTAGCTATAATGGTACTGTATATTTACCTTCGGCCCACCACCCTGAATCAAGTTTGGGTTTTTGCCCTTCATAAGAAAAGTTTGGGCATCTCTGTTCTAGATCAAACAACTGGTATGGTATGATTAGCTTACAGTATGCATATTAAAACTTTTTGAAAGTTTGAAAGGACTGCTGTGCCCACAATGTAAACTTCTGAATGTATGTTTGACAGCACACATCCTTCATTGACCAATGCTTCTGTGATTTAGCTTAAAATACCTATACACTCAGTACATATCAAACTATGTTAATAACAGACAAAAGCAGAAGCAAACATATTAATGTCTAATCCAATGCAGTTGGCAGAATATTGTATTTTACTTTCATTCTTTCTAAAAATCCAGCACCAAATTGTGCCTTGTTAGTAAACCAGTCTGCATTAATATGAAGTGAAAAAAGGACTAAGGTACTGACGCATCTTGAAGTTCATTAAATATAAAGGTTTTTGACAAACATGGTCAAAAAATAGGTATGGCACTGCTTCTTCTTACCTATGTTTGTATCTCTTGTTATTCATCTACAGCAGGGACGTTTAGTTCCAAACCTGCTTCAACACACTTATCTGTAGGTTTCAAACAAGCCTGAAGGTCTCAATTAGTTTAATCAGGTGTGTTAAATTAGGGTTGGAACTAAACTGTGCAGAGCTGCAGCCCTCCAGCAACTGAGTTTGACAACTGCGATCTACAGCATGTATGAACTGCGATCTGGTGGGTGGAGCTAAACAGGTGCTGATCTACTGCATATGCGGGGTTTAGACATTTTACATAATAAAGTGGCACATTCCACAACCTGTCCTTTAGGCAGATTTTCCAGGGGTGTCCAAACCCGGTCCTGGAGGGCCAGTGTCATGTAGATTTTAGCTCCAACTTGCCTCAACACACCTGCAATGATGTTTCTAGAAAGCCTAGTAAGAGCTTGATTAGCTAGCCCAGGTGTGTCTGATTAGGGTTGGAGCTAAACTGTGCAGAACACCGGCCCTCCAGGACCGAGTTTGGACATGCCTGTTTCAGACTAATCAAAAAATTGAGACCTGAAACTGTACAGTAAGAACTGAGATTCTAAACAATACAATGACATTCAAGAGTTCACACTTAGCTGATGATTAATAAAAAGGCATGTTTGGCATGCAGTCCTGGGAGAGAGCCCTGAGCTCAGAAGATCCCCAAGCCCAGGACTCCCTTCCATTTCATAGGGCGAGAAGGGAGTCAGTGCTCAGGTAGGTCTCGAGTACTGGAATTTATTCCTTCTGCATGTTCTTTGATTATTAGAGTTTGTGCATTGACAGCTTAGTACTAAATGCGCATATACGATGCCAATTTGGTTTAATCAATACACTTATACCGCATGTCTTTGGACTGTGGGAGGAAACCGGAGTACCTGGGGGAAACCCACCCGAGCAAGGGAAGAACATGTACACTCCACATAGAAACACCAACTAGCCCACCTCGAACAGGTGACATTCTTGTTGTGAAGCAACAGTGCTAACCACTGAGCTGCTGTGCCGCCCTGTCCTGGATTAATCCAGGAAAAGGGGGGGAGTAGGAGTGGATAGGGGATTCTTTAAGACGAAGAGAACTAAGGTAAGAAACTCTGGTTATTTATAGTAAGTTTGGATTCATCTGATTGGTAAACCATGTGATAGCTAATATAGGACCAGCAGTGGTCAATCATGTAATTAGTCTATAAATAAACTTCACTTCAAGGGAATCTAAGGAATTTAGATTTCTCAGTTCCATCCTAGATTTTTATATAGCACTAAATATAAAATGCACAGTAAATGAAAGTTTAGACAGTTTCAATGTGACCTTCATGCAACACATCAAACTGCAGAGAAGCATTGGATGAAACACCTATGTAAAAACAAGAAGCACGTTTCTTGCATTACCAGTGTACTCTTCTGGGCTGTTGTGATCCTCAACTAGTTTACAGCCTAGCAGCTTTTGGCTCATATGGTTAGCATAGCGCTGCAGTGGAGTGACTTCCTCAGCAGCAGCAGATCTGGACTTGTTCCACTGTACTATTCCATCCACCAAGTAAATATGGAAGTGCAAGTCATTTGCACTTATACCTAAAAAAATAAAAAAAACCTACTTATAAAATCATTTGAATTCACATTGACACAATTCACACATTATTTACGTGACAAACCTGGAATGAAATGGTTCAGATGTTTGTGAAATAACTCTACTGATCCGACACCACGTGCACAGTTGTATATGGGCAGACTGAGCCCTCCTCTGGTCACCTCTTTAACCTTCTTGTAAAGCTGTATACCTGGAGGATCCTGAATGCACGAAAGATGACATTGTTGAGCTCGCCAGATTTCCTCCATCTTCTCTCGCTCCATCAGTTTGTTTCCCATGAAGTCTGTAGCTTCTATGAACTCCTTCAACAGTTGTTCAATGAGCTGCCTGGTCACTTGAGCTCCTCGTGTTTGGTGTCGACAGTGTCTTATTAACTCTTCAGCAGTGGGCTTGTTGGATACTTTGCCATCTGTAGATTGACACATCTCCTGTCGCTTGGCTTCATGGAGTCTTTTAACATCTCCAACGTCCCATTCAAAGATACAGGAGAATAGCCGTCCCATGAAGGTGCCATAGAGTGGGTGGTTTTCTGAGTTGATGCCTGCTGAAATATGCTGCATGAACTGCCACGCATCCAGCCTGATGATGAGCCGGTCCCACTCGGTGAACATGGCTGCTGTTTTTCCTTTGTTCGTGGTGGAACAGCAATCACGGTTTACATAGAGGAGTTGTGGAGGAGGTTTTCCGGCTCGCTGGTATCGCTCCATCAAGCCAGAGCACATAGGATGCAAGTCCTCACCTTCGGTTTGGGTCAGTACACACATTAGGACCTGCTCGTTTTCATTTCCTACAGTTGTGGTCCACACAGCTGAATCCTGTTTCTTGGTGACCTATTGATGAATGAAAGAATAATGTAAATGCTATAAAACTGAATGAGTGATTCGAACTGACTGCACTAAAATCTGCGTGACCTGTAAATAAGAGTTATTTCAGTTTGTTGATGTACTTCCAAATGAAACTGAATATTGAGTGGGGGCAGAAAAAGCAGGGCGTAAAGAATGCTGGGTGGCTTTGTTTTGTGCGTCATTCCCTCATAGCAAACTACTGGTAAGAGATGCATGGTTAAGGATGCTAAGAAACCCCAGAAATGTCATCACTCCAAATGTGAAGGAATTCTCAGATTTTTATTCACGTTTAACAAAACAAACATTTATTTTCAGTGGAATAACTTGCATGGATTAATTATTTATCTTAATAACAACAATGTAAGATAGCAAAATGAACACTGGCTTTCACACAGACTTTAAACCTGGTGGTGTCTGCTCACCTTCCTGACGGAAGTCATCTTCAGGATGGAGCCGTAAACTGAAGTGACTCTGGCTTTCAACTCTCCGAGCCGTGTGAGTGCATCTTTTGCATAGACTGCCAAAAGCATTGATGACGGTGGCACTGGTACCATCTGCGGCACTTTGACCATCACACCACTGAGATCTTGAAATTTCTGCAGTACAGAGAGGTACTCGGCAGCTTGAGCCACCCACCGCTCTTTGTGCCGAACACAAAGATGGCGGTACAGTGCCACTGCACTCTTCCCTGGTGTCTGACACTGCATCATCCGAACCAGCTCCTTATCACATGACAACCTTTCAACAAAACACACACAACTATAAATGAACCACTCAGCTTTTAACTGAGTATTACAATGAAATAAAAAACGCATAGTTTATCCAAAAGTACACTTTTGTCCTCATACATTCACTCTCCACTTGCCTCATGCCTATTTGCGTTTCTTTCTTCTGCTAAACACAAGATCATTTCTTTTGAAGAAAGTTAAAAACCAGTAACCATTAACTTCCATAATATTTTTTCAACAATGGATGTCTGACTGCCGTTTTCCAACATTCTTCAAAACATCTTCTTTTGTGTTCAACGAAAAAAAAAAAACTTATCAAGGTTTGGAACAACTCAAGGGTGAGTAATTTTTTTTTTTTTTTTGAGTGATCTATAACTTTTATTGGTAAACAATACTGAAAACTCCTATATATTTTGTGATTTGTACTTTCAGAGCTTTATCTCTGCTATGTCAGGTTTTGCTACTGAAAATGTAACTCTACAGTTGTAGAATAATAATAATTGCATAACAAATATTAATTAATTTTTTAAAAATCGATTAAATAACATGAGTACTGGCAGCTATTTGTTTGATAATTTACAGTAAGCCATTAAAAATGTAAATTCAAGTCAGTTTGTTAAATGTTTCAGAATCAAAGCAGAAATCAAGGCCCCATAATGCAATTTGAAAGTAAAAATAAACAAAAAATACCCATGAATCACAAAATACGTTCAATTGTATAGTTTTAACAGTAAACTCAGCTAACCTGTTGGTTAGGACTGCTGGGAATTTATCACAATGGATGGGATCCAACTGATCCATAATATCTTGCGACCAGCCCGCCACCTTCTTCCTACAGGAACAGCACTCCAAATACTCTGTGACCATGAAATACCAGCCGCTGATGTCCAAAACCTTTCTGACGGTGTTGTGCAGTCCGCAAGGCTTCAAATGATTCCCGAGACGGCGGCAGTTTGGTTTTGTGCAACACAGTTTGTATGCCCACATGCGACATGGCATCCATAAGAACAGCCTGCTGTGGAAGAACGGCTCAGGAGAAGGAGGAGGCTGTGAATATTTTGACGGGGGTCCAGGATTCGACCACCACAGCTGGAGAGGTTCAGTCAACATCAGCTTTCCAGATGCATCTCTGCGGAACAGAGCCTTACTGACCCAGAGTTGCTGCTCTTTCGGCAAGGTATGCTTCCAGCCTTCAGGTAGTAAAAGCTGGAGAAAGAGAGAGAGAGAGAGAGAGAGAGCGAGTGAGAAAGAGCGAGAGAGAGAGAGAGAGAGAGAGAGAGAGAGAGAGAGAGAGAGAGAGAAAGAGAGAGAGAGAATACTGTTCATTTTATACTATCATTCAATGAGGGCCACAATCGGGATTTGACTTACATCTTCATAGGGATCAGGCAGCTTTTTGTTTGCTTGTGTTTTCTGTTCATCCATTTGTGATGAGGACATGGATGTCTAGTTTGCTCAATCTAGCAGCATTCAAGAACAAAATTCAACAACAACAAAAAAAAAAATCACATCTGAATCAGATAACAGAGATCCATAAACCAATCCTTCTGTGCCAATTAAGAGAGACATTATAAATGTGCAGGGTGGGGAGGCTCGAGGTCCAGAAATGAGAACCACTGCAATAAGCAATCATTCAAAATTTGAATAAAAACTAAGTAAATACAATAATTCTAAAGTAACACTGAGCCTCTGTTATGACTGTGTTGAACATTTCAATTTCAAAACCATGGCAGACATGATTACGCAAAACAGAACATTTCTGTCATAACTTATTCACCCGCAAAACTGAATGCCAGTGCTATCAATATTTAGGGATTTCTGCTAAAGTAAGCTACTTGTAAACTGCAGTTTAAATATTTTCCCTGTGGCTTTAAGGTATGTGATATTGCATGAGCTGACTGAAATGCATGTATTGATATTTTATTTTCTACTGATTATAAAGCTGTGCTAGATTATGAGTGTTTTTTGTGGAAACTTTGAGTTTCCTTTATGATATTTTGAGTTTTAATTTTTTGGAAAAGGTCACTGGGCTTGTTTTGGGCTATTTTTAATTAACCTTTGAGCTGGTTTTGACACAGACCTGGCAACCATGTGTTTATCACACACACAGACATTTTCAAAATGTTCCCTTACAGAAAAACCACATGAGCGTGATCACATTTTTTCACATGAAAGTTTCAAAACCACGTTTCATATGTGTTTCACGTGTGTTCCACATGTGATTTTAACATGTGATGGAACATGTGAAGCTCATGTGACTCTCATGACGTTTTTGTAAGTTTTTTATATGCATAAACACATATTCAAAGAGGTCAAATGCTGTAGGTGGTTTTACAGCCCTGTTTGGCAGGCTATAGATCTGGGCTTTCTGCAAGCCGGTCAAGTTCATCCACATTAGTCTCAGTAAATATTTCCATATGGGCCTCACTTTGTGTACAAAGACATTGTCATGCTGGAACAGAAAGAAGTCTTTCTAAACTATTGCAGCTAAGTTAGGAGCACAGAATTCTCTGGAGTGGCATTGTATAGAACAGAACTGAGATTACTAGAATTACTGGAATGGCCAAACCTGATTTTTATTTACTCTCAACAAATGCACATTATAACTGCTTAAGGCCTGTTAATACAGTTTGCATACTTTAAAAGCACAACTAAAACAATACCGATATAGTTAAAGTAAGTTACAGTTTACAAATGCACCGCACATTGTATTATTTAACGTTAAACTAATAAACAAACGAGTCTTGCTCATTTATTAACAGTTCATTAGTTATTATTGTAAAGAGACACGATCATAGACGTCTAGGTGAACCCCTTCCATTAATACAACAAACCGCCATGACAAATAAACAACACACGTTTTCTCATTACACTAACATTACAGTGTATTGAACATAAAACTGGTCATAATAATCGAACAAGTCTTACCTTGAGGACGTCTAAACCCAAACCATATGCAAACAGTTCACGCAAAGAACTACAAATTATCGAAACACATTTGCTTAAAAAGACAAATTTTAATGTATCGCACTAGCTGTCGTGTTTATGAACCTCACGAGCACCGAACCCACAGGCAGAGACATATTGCAGAAGGTGGAGACTTCCACTTCTATAGGAGTGAATGGGGAAAATAGTAGCGTAGCGCTCAGCACGTATAGACCCGCCCTTAAGCTGAACCAGCCAATAGCATTTTAGACTCGGCCTAAAAGTCCCACCTCTCTGTTAAATGAGCCAACCACTTCTTTCATAGACGGGTTTGTTTACTCTGTACTGCGAATGCGCACTTCTTGAGCCCTACAGTTACAGGGAGATGTCATTCTTGTTTTTATGATTTGCACTATGATTTATTTTTAGTAAATGTTTTTCTTTCTTACAGAAGAAGGTAAGATTGTGTATATTAACTCGTCAGTAGGAAAGCGATGATGAGCATAATAATGGCAACAACAATAATATATATGTGTATATAAATAATATATAAAGTGAATGTAAAAAAACATATATATATATATATATATATATATATATATATATATATATATATATATATATATATATATATATATATATATATATATATATATATATATATATGTGTGTGTGTGTGTGTGTGTGTGTGTGTGTGTGTGTGTGTGTGTGTGTGTGTTTTTACATTCACTTTTACTTCTATTAAGAGCAAGCAGAAGTCTTCCTGGGTTGTCAGGAGATAAACATTATATAGGCTCCCCCTAAAGGGCTGAATAGCACTTTTATTTTCCTTTGATTGCACATTTAATTGTAGAAGTCTGTATTCTGCAATAAAATTGTGATATTGTGCAAACAGGCATTGCTTAAAGGGAAAATACACCCAAAACTGAACTTGTTCCAAATCTTTTTGACTTCCTTTTTCTGTTGAACACAAAAGGAGATCATTTGAAAAATGTAGTAACCATTGACTTCCATGTTACTGTTTTTTCTTACAAAGGAAGTTAATTATTACAGGTTTCTCAAAATATCCATTTTTGTGTTCAACAGAAAAAAAAAATAAACACAAAGGAACCACTCGAGGGTAAGTGAAAGTGAGGACATTTTAATTTTTGAGAGAACTATCGTCACATAGAGGACAAGAAAACTTAATTTTAGATAGCTTCCAAAAAAGGATAAATATGTGTAAAAACTCACTGACAAACCCTTAACAGGCGCATGTCATGGGCTTCAGAGGGGATTTAGTTACATAATTTTAAACTAATTAAAATTTTCTGTGGCCTGATTTAACACGAGCAGTGTCACACCCGAGGACATGGTTTTCAGTGGCGAAAATGCATCAATTTCCAATGTTTTTAAAGATATAGGTTTGTAAAAACAATGACTGTCATTTACTACAATAGTCACTTGTAAAATTAAGCCTAAGGCATTTCTTAATATTTTATGATTTCCTTTTTTTTCTTATTAATAAGAGTTGTAATTTATTGAACTATGCAGTGAGACAAACATTTTGAGATTTGGCTCAAAAATAAAACAATAACACAATAGTTTTTTTATAACAAGGGGTCCATGGAAGACAAAGAAATGTTTAAACAATTACTGCATTATACATAATAAAATAATACTACTTAATTTCATTTTTGTTATGTGTGACAGGGAAAATGCAACATCACGTCAACAGCCAACAACGAACATGTCATGGCCAATGACTCTTACCTTTTACTGGTAAAAGTATTTGAAATTGTTGTTATTATTTATTGCTCTGACTAAATTTAACATCCATGAATGTAAATTTTCAAAGAAACACCCTTACTTATTTTCAGAAAGGACTTTGATTTTTATGTAAACTGCTTAAAAGACTAACAATTATATTGCATGTAAAACTCTTTCTTGGAATTTTTGTAATCCTTTTGGTCTCTTTGTTCATATTGTATATTTGTAAATGTGCTTGTTTGTATAATAAAAAAGTATTTTATATTGCATTTTATATCATTTACATTTAAGTACAGTAGTTGGCGATAAGCAGCTGCCTCCAGCCTGTAAACAGCAGAAGAAAATAGGCCACCGCCCATCAGACGCGTCAGACGCGTGACGTTTGTGATTTTCTGGAAATCAGTGAAATGTGGATTTTGTCCAGGTAAAATTATCGTTACTACTGCTATAGGTTTTTCTTTAATTTAGGAATTAAACAGAATACATGCTTGCTGCGTCGCTTATTTGTCTGTAGCATATCTGAGGTAAGGCGAGTTTATTAGATCTCATGATTCAGATCAGATCCAACAAGGGCTCAGCCCGAGAGATCTGCTGCTTGACAGAGCTGAAACAAAGCGTTGACATGTAACGATTGTGTACGATTATGAATGCATTGCAGGTACTATTAGGTTTGTGTCTTTATCGTGCGTATGCTTTATACTGGTGTTGTCCGATTTGTGAATGAATCGTTCTTTTGAGTCGGATCTTTTAGACGATTTCTTTGCATCATTATTTTTTAAAACATTGATTAGTATTAATATTCTTTGTGTATTGCTGTGTTCTGCGTACAATATGCCTTTTACTTTAGAGATTGTTTTGTTGTAAGGTAGACTCTGAGTCTGTATTATGATGATGATAATGATGAACCGATTCCCAAAAAGCATCGTAAGCATCTCTTGCTGGTCTCTACGATGACAGGAAAACACAGCCCTTTCGGACTTGTTCACGAGTCAGTTTTCGAGTCATTGACTGGTTGAGTCACTGAATTCCTGTATTTGTTTGTTAAAATATGTTTTCTATTTATTTTTAGAAACAAGCTTATGAAACGAGGTATAAATTAACCAATTTTAACCTAAAATAAACGATTCGTTCGAACTTGCCATCGCCACTTCCCTACACCCAGCAGAATAACTTGATTATCTGCATTGCATAGTGCCATTATTTAGGCCTGAATGAATCAATGAATTGCATATAATTACTCATTATGCTCAAATGAGGAAAAAACAAAAGGCTCTCTGAGATGCAATTTGCTGTCAGCAGTCACGAATGGCTGAATAACCCTGTCAGATATTTTCAAGTATGTTTAACTTGAACTATAGAGCACATTTGTTTTGTAACCACATAACAACTCAATTAAAGTCAAATACATTAGACCAATTGAATAAATGAAATTAATGTAAAATTTTGTGTTTTGATTTTCATTTTACTGTTCAGCACTTTGGTCTGCTTCTCGGTGGTTGTAAAGTGCTTTATAAATAAAGTTGAATGAAATGAATGAACATCGTTTTTTATTACCAACAAAAGAAAAAAGTATGGTTAAGAAGTATTTGAAGTAATCAGCCTAGGGCAAGTTGTAAAGACTTGTCTGACCAACTAGCTGTTATTAAGGGGGTAATCTGAAGCAATTAATAATTTTGTGACTAAGTTAAATATGTTCTAGGCAGTCTCGAAAAAAAAATTGGTCACTAATTTTTAAAACTAGTATAAAAAAGTCTATTTTTCTCCCTTAAATGAAAAATTGGTGTTCATTAACTTTGCCTTGGCTGTCCAAGATATAGATGTGCATTTTTTTGCTACAGTAGAACATTAATGAAGTTTGTTTTAGCTGAAACATAGTCCTTGGCTATTCATAAAATTCAAGGTCACCAGCTATCAGCACTTTGACAACAAAACAAAACAAAAAATACAAAGTAGTTTTACGAAGGAAAACAACTAATCTGTGCAAGAAACTGAACATAATTTGCAACATCATTACTTTTAATCCACAGCTCCAGCAAACACTCCTGAACAAATTTGAGACAGTCAAACTCAATTCCTGGATGGACATACTCTTGAACAGCTTGATTAGTTGGATCAATTGTGTATGATTAGGGTTGGAGCAAAAATGTGTAGAGCTGCGGCCATCCAGGAGTTGAGTTTAAGACCTATAGTTTACACCTTTTTATATACTGTAGGCCTATATACTTTAATTTACTAGGCAGACTTGAAGATTACCAAAACAAACATTTTCTTCTCAGTGGATTAACTTGCACAGAGGAATTGTGCACCTAAACAATAACAATGTGTGCTAGCAAATAAAACCTCGAGAACGTTTACATGGACACCAATAATCCATTTTTACTAATACTATTACTATTAGGGCAATGCTCTGATTAAGAGTCTACATTGTAAACAGCGATTTTTGATTCACTTAATCGGATTAAGGTCATAATCAGTAAACTAAACAGAAATCGGATTAAGACGTGGAGTATGCTGTTTATAGTTGCATTATTGAAGTGCAGTACAGACATGTAAACACCTTGATCAAACTATGTTAGCCTCATTTTGCGACAGGATAGTCTATACACACACGGCTGTTTGACACTAATCCCTGCACATATAGAGTCAGTAAGAAATGGCCATAAAAGCATACTGACCCGAACAGTACCGTACTGTACCACTCAGTGGAAAAGGGCCATGAAGGACCACAAACACATACACAGCGAAATGTGGAGGTTTTTTCTCATACGGTGTGCGGTAACAAACTACATTAAAACAACACTCTTCCAGCAGTTCATCACAGGGGGCATGCATTTAACATTCCTGAACGAAAGTGAAAGTGCCAAACTGCAGTTAAAGTCGACAAATCAAAGATGAAACACCCAAAATTACATGAAACTCCAGTGGAAATGTGGATAGCTCTGTGACGTTAATCGTATAATGTGCTATAACATGTAAAACAGGATCATGAAAGGAACCTTCAAAAAGCAACTCATGTAAATGCATTCATCATATTTTTGTCTTATTCAGATTAAGGCAAATTATTTGATTACTGATGTCCATGTAAACATAGTCAATGTTCAATTTGACTTCACACAGACTTTAATAAAAAAAGTCACCTACGTCTTTGGTGGCCTGAGGATGAGCAAACTAAAATTGAAACTAGTTTTAAATTTGAGCTAACCATCTATGTAAATTATTACATTATTGTCTGGTTACTCTGTTTGGATATTTAGACGTGTATTATCTTCTATCAGCATAGATTTTTGTTTTTGTTTGGAATTATTGGTTCACCCTCACATTTAGTGTCTTTAATTTCTTTTTGTGTACAATCTAAAAATACACACAAACATGCTAGCTTGATTTCATAAGGAAACGTTACTGTTTTACATACTGGCAGATGTAAAATAGCTAATTCATAAAAATAAAAAAAAAACATACGATTTAATTTGTATGAATACCACATGAAGGACATGTGGTATGATTTTTAAAAGGAGGCATGACCACAAATCCTACCCCTAAACCTACTTCTCAGTGGGGGATGAGCAAATCATACTA